TCCTATTATAAGAAAGATCATATAAAATTTTAAATCCTCAAGTGTCTTCCTCTCACCTTCTCTATTTTCATTCATGACCTGATTAGGGTTTGCATCCAGATCCCCTTAAGTGAATAAAGCTCCAAAGACGCAGTTCACAAAGATAGCATTTTTTTTCCTAGAAATACATGGCAAAAGCACCTGGACTTTGAAAGTGGCAAGTCCTTACACTTGAATCTTTCCTTAAAGGAGACAGCACAATGAAAAAAGGCAAAGAATCATCAAAAGTGTAGCTAAGACAGAGTAGCATTGTGAGTCACCTCACTTATGCACTCTTTCTACCATAAATAATGCATAGATCCAAGTCTCATTTACATTTGTAGAGAGCACAGGCTGCAGAATGACACCTTTACCCTTGCATGTCCCGAGATATTTTCTGTACCACAGTCCAGTCTTTTCCTTGAGGCAACTCTAGACAGCACAAGCAACCTGCACTTAACTCACATATTTGCAATACTTAAAACAAAATGACAAGATCATCGCTCTGTAGTTTCTAGGACACGGAGGAAAAAGAGATGGTTATCGACCTGGCCTAAAAATTTACATCTGTATAAGCTTGTGAAGGAAGTTAGTGTGTGAAAGGGGCTAGAGGACTGAACGTGCCTTTGTTCAGCGTAAATGTCCCTTTGTCTGCTGAGACTCAAGGCAGAGGAATCAATTGCTCAAGAACTCAAACCCAGCCGATAGCTAATACAAGACACTTCTTGCCAGCCAAGAGTTTCCCTTGGGGTTGATAAAGGAGAAGCAAATGGGAATTTCTATGCTCTTTGCAAATAACTTCACATCTCCAAACTACCTTCTCCCCACACTTTTTTTCTCAACAAACAACTAATAACGTTCAGTGAGAAACAGCTTGATGGTAATGCCACTTCTGCTTGTCTTTCACAAACTGCACTGCAAAAATGTATCTTAAAAGCAAGCCTGGCCTTCCCTCATCTGTAAAGATGCAAGAAATGCAAAAACCAGCTGCAGGGGAAAACTATGAGAAACAGGTTCCTTCCTTCTGCTAAACTGCTACACTTAGATCAACCCAAAGATTTAGGAGAGCTTAGGTAACAGGTGGAGAACACAAACACCACTTTTAGAAGACAAACTACTAGAACACAACACAAGCTGCCTGCCAAAAGAAAAAGCCCTGCTGAGATAGCTGTACGTTTTCTCAGGAGTCTGTTCTTAATTCTAAGGATAATTGGGATTTGCCCAGAGCCAAAGTGGATATAAATAGCAACCGAAACCTGCTAGTATCTTTTCTCCATCAGTTGGGCCATGAACTGTTTGGCAAAAGGGACTCTTTGTGATACTAACAAGTCATCTGCTCAATCACAGGATATCAGCAATGACTCATGCGAGCTGCAAAGGGGTTTTAAATGTCAGGGAGAGCTGGTCTTTTGTATTCTGGCAGCACCTCACTGCTGCTTTATACCAATCCTTCTCAAATGAGAGTCTGGAATAAATGCGAAAAAAAAGGAAGGGCAAAAAAAAAAAAAGAAAAAAATACATCAGTTGCTTCACAGTGTTTAGTGCTCCCCTGGAGCTTAATTATGTGGGAACTGTGATATGCAGTCTGTCAGCTAGAAGGTGGCAGATCACTGTGGCACGGTTTGAAAGGTGTGTTGCGAAACTACTCATTTGCTCTAGACCTACAGATACAGTATGGCATGCCCTGGGCAAACTACAGGTTCTAACAAGTCTCACGTGTGGGTTCCTCACATTTCTCACCTGTGGTGTCTGTAGTGGTGTGCTCCCAAATTCGGCTTCCAGCAACCCCATGTACACTATAGTTTGATTCCTCAACTAGCAGAATGGCACATAAATATTTCCATCCTCCCCAAATAAACAAACTCACTGTGTTGTCTTCCTGCTGCTCTATAACTCTATAACCACATGCAGGTCTCAGTGATCGACACTATAAACTTACAAATTTTCAGTCTCTAAGTCAGGACTATAGCCATAGGGGATGGCTTATTGCCCTGCAGGAATACGATAAACATCTCTTCGGCATAATTCTGAAATGAAGCAGTGCAGAGACCATCGTCCAGAATATATTTTCAAACATATTGCACAATTTCCCCCACATTTATTTTTGAAAACATTAAGTGTTTGAATCATTCATTTCTAAGACTCTCTCTTGTGTTGGTGTCTAGATGTCATAAAGAAAGAAAACTACAGAAAATTTCTGTCCCAGTTTATATTTTCCGCTTGCAAACACTCACTCCATTCTCAGAATTAACAAGGAACAGCTTCCTCTACTACATCCAGGAGGTGCCTTCATAAATTTGTCACATCCTGATGTTAGCATATGGTATTGAAAATATTCCTACTGCTTACAGAGAGAGCTGCTACAAATATGTCAAGCAACAGTTTGTTAATTTTGGATCTGATCCTACAGTGCACTAGTATTTTTCTCATGCTTTTATACCTAACTGTATAATGAAGATGTCCCATGTAGTTTCACTGAGGATGAGTTAGACTACAGACTTTTGAGGCCTTTAAGAGAACATTTCATTTCAAACAGCATGTGCATAAGAGAGTCTGGTTCTTTCTTCTTCCTTTTACAAAGTACAGAGTGGCAAATCCTAATTTTTTTTTTTCATGATGCCATGAAATAAAGGAAGATCTGTGCTCTATAGAAGGAAATTCTGCCTTGCTTTATGGCTTAAGGAATATGGGCTGTGCCTTACACAACCTACATACATGCCTTGTCCTGGCTGCCTTGCAATTAGAAATACTACAGTACAGAAGACAAGAGACAAGAAACTGGAGTCTTAAGAATAAGGTAAGAATGCAGGATTTCTCAAGGATTTAATATGGATCTAGTGTCAAAAGACAGAACTGGGCAGAGGATAATATGGTTAGTACTTCAGATATACTAGGCAGCAGGATACATCAGATGGGATCAAAGAGGGGCAGAATCACAGTCCTGGAGGAATACATGGACTTAAAAGGTTGTCTTTCATGAAGAAACTCTTACTTGCTCCTTTAAAAGGATGTTGTAAGTGTAATGCCATCCAGTTCACTTTTCCCAGAAGATGACTGAACTGCCACTAGGAAATTACTTAGCTGCTGGTATTCAGCTAGTTGTGTGTGTGTAGGGTAGAGAAGATAACTGGGTGGTTTTATGGTACACTGGCTCAGCAGTTTATGAGGGCCTCTTGTAGACCCTTTCCCTCCTCCCATTTCTGAGGTGAGAAATGGCATGTTTCGACTCATTCCTTCACCAAAAACATTTTGCCTACCCTTCCCCGGTGCCTGTGTAGCCACACTTTCTTACTGTAACAGCTGACCATTGTCTGGTCTCTGCCTACTTATTTTTGCAATGTATCTGAGGAAGTTTATGTTTCATACTTGACAGGAGGGGAGGTCAAGCACAGAACAACTCACCTCTAGTTGCACCGGCATTTCATGGCCAGCTGAATGAAGATTTCCAAGATTAAGGTGACGTCCTAATTCACTGGCTATAACTCTTAAGCCATACTTTGTTAACATTGAAACCTTTGGGGATTTCAAACTGACCCATATGCCATTATTTTCCCACAATCAGAGCTGTTCTGCAACAGTCTTCTTTCCCCTTCTTCCCTTGAAATCATCAGACTCTTCTCATTGAGGCCAAGCCTACTTAATCCAATCTGACTGCTAAAGCTTTGTGCAAAACAACACAGGTAAGAAAGAAAAAAGGAACGCTCAGCTTGCTCTGAAACATATTTGAACATAGCAGCAGCTAAAGAATACAGTTTCAGCATGCATGAAAAAGCAGCCCAGGATGTTCTCCCTTGGAAAGCCTCAGAGAAAAAATGTCAGGACAGGTGAATTGAAAGATGAATATGTCATGCACATTTCCTATTTTGCCTTAGTAACGCTGTATTCTGAATGCAGCAGCACACACTGCTTCCAGTCTTTAACTATCCAGTCAAACATCGCTATTAAGCATATTCAGGAGAAAATACAAATGTGAGAAATATACCATGACATCCTGTAGGAAAAACAGAGGGCAAACCCAAGGGCAATCAAACAAGAAACACACTGCGTAAAACACAGTTGATACAACACAGAATTCAGAGAGGTCAGAGAGCTGCTTTAAACAAAAACTGAAAGAAAAAAACCCAACCTCCCTTCCCCACATGTTGCCAGATTTAGGGTTTCTGTTCTTGAAATCTAGGGCAATCAGAATAACCAAATTTTGATACTTCCTTAGGTCTAGCTAGATCAGATGTAATCTAGCTCTCAGCTGCAAGATCTGCCAGGGAACAACTAATACACAAAGATGATTGTAGGTCCAGTTGACCTGATACGTTATATTGAAAAAAAAACAAAGTGATGGAAACACCAACATGATTTGTATTCAAAGAGAACATGCACAATGATACCACAGGAACTTGGGATAAGAGTCATACAAATCTTTTTGCCTCTACTTTTGTTCTTAAAGCATTCTATGTGGCTTTAGTTTTGGCACCAGTGACATTATGTTTTGTCCACAAATTACACGTGAAAAGAATCACATATCTTTAGGTTTTGCTTAGATTTACCTCTGACTGGGAAATGAACTTTTTATGGTCATGCCATCTAGCAGCCATTTTCAGTTGCATGATATTACTACAAGACTTGTTGTGCTTTTGAAACACCACGTGTGGTGGGCAGTCTCAGAAAACTCCAGAAGTTATTGTTTCTTACCTACAAAGTAAGTAAAAGCTACAGTGAAAAAATCAAAATATGGAGATTTCCTGGGGCATTCTGGATTATTTTCTCAGCCTCTCTCAGATGTATTAATCACATCAGTTAAGACAAATTTCCTACTTCCGTCATATCCATCATCTACCAGAAGAAACTGCAGTGCAGCTGGAGAAAGCTAGGTCAATGTGGATACTTGAGATAAAGTAAGGTGCTTGCTCAGGAATGACATGATTTTGGAAAACTGGTGCAAGCTATGCAAAAACTAGAAAGATGGAATATTAAACACAGATTACCTGGGTGCCTACTCTAAAAGCAGCTTCCACTTGAGCTTTAAGGATATTGCACTTCATATGGTCAGGTACAGATGACGGTGAGACAGGGGCATGAAGAGTCTTTTCGGATATTTTTTTGTCTTCCACCTGTATTTAATATAAAAGACAAGCACAGTGACATAGATTAGAAAGGTAAGTTAACAAAATAGTCAAAGGTGAAACTTTTACTTGTAACAACTTGATTCAGCAATATTTCCATGCTCATACCCTGATAGATACATCTTAGAATAAAAATATAAATATATTTAATGACTTGATACTCTTTTCAAGACAAGAAAAGCTTCAGGGAAAGTTGAGTAATAGAAGCAAGAAACTGATGTGAAGATACTTAGAAAAAGCCCAGCCACACCCTGGAGTGGTTGCCTAAATCTGTGATCACAAGGAGGAAGAAAAACATTGTCTCAAAATACCCCACAGCAAGCAGAAGAGGGAAAGGTTCACAATACCCAGCTATAGCGAACAGTGATTTCTTACACCCTAAGAATGTAAAGGGACTTTACAAATTCAACCAGGGGAATCGAAAGGATGTCCGCGCAATCGCAAGCCAAACAAAATCTCTTTTGTCAGAAAGAATTCAGGAAGTATAAACGTTGCTGTTGCTGTTTCCACTTGATGTCAAGCCTTTACCTACGCAATAATCTGGATCAGAAATCTGAAGCCTCAGGACAGCTAGTTTAGTGACCTGTTCAAACATGACCTGAAGATTTTGTGCCTTAAACAAACTACATCCAGCAGAAATGCCAGCATGAATAAACTTCCCATACAGAAAGTAAAAAAAAAAAAAAAAAAAAGGATAATGCCATACTAATATATAAACAAACAGGGCATGAATGAGACAAGGATTGTAAACATGAACTCTTAAACAATCAAACTGTATTATCTTATACATATTTAAAGAAGAATTGGGCAATGGCATAACAGCCATTGCAAACTCTTCTATTCTTTCTGGACATGAGACCCGAATTAGAACCGAGCAGCAGCTGAGATTATGCATTAATTTCCCACTCTCATCGCTGCAAAGAGCGAGTGATTGTATCCACCCAGGCAGAACAGGTAGGTAATTCTGCCATTTAGATTTCAGGCAAAACAGGTATAAGGCATCAGTAAAACAAGTGCGAGGCATCAGTAAACCAGGTCCAGCACATCTTTGAGGTTCACCTTTGGCAAAGTATTTCAAGAGAGAACCGGTCATTTTTTAGCCACTGAAATTACCGTACAAATAGCCCTTTGACTTCAAAACCTGCCTCCTTTATTCTTCCTTCTGCCCTCCCCCATGGTAACTAGTGTCTTATCACTCATAAATGTCTATTTGCTGAGCCATATTTACTGGTTTTAGTGGAATATATTTTTGTATTTTTCATTCTCTCCACTTTCCTCTTAAAGGAAAAATAAAATACTTAAAATGAGAAGTGACAGCATCCAACTGGAGCAACTTATGGAACTGTGGTTATCTATTCAGTCTTGAATATAATGGTAGTTCTGATAAAGCCTATTAAATATATGTTTGCCATAGGTTTCTTTTCTAGGATACTCATGAAGCCAAGAAGTACAGATACTCAAAAGGACAAAATTAACTGTAAAGAAAGCACAACTTTTTCTTCACCAGTAGCCTTGGTAGCCACAGTGCATTACTAGACATTTTAAAAGGTTTGCTATTACTGTTAACTTTTAAGTGTATTGATTTCTAACAGCAGAGAGGACATCACAGTGGCATTTGTAAAGGCCATGCAAAATCTCACTTTTGTTTTAGAACTGGATGCTAATTAAATATCCTTTCAGTCAAGCAAAATCAGGCAAATGTATTTTACTTGCTAAACCATGACAAACTATGCTTGTTTAGGACACAACATTGTTTTGTAGCTCAAAAAGTTCCAAAGTCCCATCTATCTGCTATTCAGATGGATATGGATATTTTTCATTCTTCATGTTCTTCCTCACCCGCTCAATTTCCCCACGTGGACCAAAAGCAAGATAAAAGCCCTCGGGGCTGCCCTGTATCTGGGAACTCTCAAAAAGTCTAAATCACCTGCTGTATTCAGGATTATACCACAGGACACCATGTAATGGAGACTCTCCCCAGTGTGGGATTTGATGTGTAAGTCTCACAGTGAGATTCCCATGACCTGACACATCCAAATGCTGATGCTCAGTGACCTAGCGAAAAGGGAAAAACTGCTGCTGGACGTTGCAGACTTCTTAGAAGCCATTCCTGGGCATTCAGTTTTGCTTGAGCCCTTGTTTGGGTCACACTTCGAGGGTTTCACTTCAAGCAAACAAAATTTTCTTTGCTGCAGCCCGCCAGGAGCAGCAGCAGCACCTTCAGTGACTGATGACACATGAAGAGCAGACGTGGCTACAATCGCCACTTGGCCTTGTCCTGCTCACCAGATGTTGAGCCAGCAGCCGGAGGCCACCACCTCCCTCTGCCCCGGTGGCCACGCTGACTGCAAACAAACCCCAGACAGGGCTTGGGAGTGCTCGACCTGACCCAGACCTCCTCCAGCTTCTGGATATACTGGAAAGCCTCCTTTGCCAGTCTGCCTTGAAAACGATGGACTTTTCAGCCAGGGTGTGGCACATACTGAATCATTACTGAATTCAGCTCTTACATAGCTGGTGAGCTGAGACTGTCACACACACAGCCGGTGGCACTGAAGATCCAGACTTAAAGTGAACTCAAATCACAGAACGATGTAGCATCCCCTTATTGCAGGCTATTAGCACTTCTAAGCATCTATACTGAAGTCCCTATCGCACCTTAATGCTGCTAATCTTTACATATAAGCCTGTTCATCCCCCAATTTAATTCCTAAAGTATAATTTTCATTAAGAAGGTAAAAGAAAAATAAAACATTTCAGGACTATACAAAGCCACACAGTACCTTCTATGGCTCATTTCACTAGTTTATAAAAAAAAAAATCAAAGATCTAAAGCCTGCCTGCATTAGGAATCTCTATATATTATTGCTCTAAGATTGAAAGCTGTAATCTACTTTATTTAGCTGTATAATAAAGAAATCTTACATTTCCAGAATCCTTATTGCTCACATTGATGAGTGAAGCATAAGGATATCAGCTGGGTATTCAAATGTTGTACCAGGGCGGCAGTTATTAAATTTTTTTTTGATTAAGAAACTAAGAGCATTCTATGTGGAAGTCATTAGAAAAATAAATGTGGCATAATGTTAATGAAAATTCCAATTTCATCATTTCTTATTATGTAATTCCAAAGAATCTGAGATGCCCCTTTTCAATTGAGAGTCAAACTTGAAGAAATAATCTTATTACTTAAAATTGTAATCTAAACTCATCCTAAAAAGTTTAGAAATAAGGAAGAAAACATTAAGTTAAGATACGTGACAACACTCCAATTTTCCCTCTCCAGTTTTCCTGTACAGTGTTAGATAGTGATGACACTGGCTTTGGTTTGCAAAGCTAATTGAATACTAACTACATATACAGCAACGTCTTCACCTTCACCCTTGAAGAACAACTTTACTTTTCCAGAGGAGGAGAACACTGGAGAAGTGCATTTAAATGGGTTTGATAGAAGTGTGTTGAACAAGCTCAGATACATACATACATGAAATTAGATTTCTTTTTTTCTTTTTATAATTGAGGTCTTAGGTTTGCTTTTCTTCTCCCAAACATTTACTTTAAATTCAATTACATTTGCTGAAACTAGAAGGCATATTTGTCCAGTGTTAGACAGTGATGACACCGGCTTTGGTTTGCAAAGCTAACTGAGTATTAACTACACATACAGAATACAAAAATAGTTGCACAAAACACAGCAATATCACTCTTACTCTTAACATTTCCATTCTCTCTGCTTTAAAATGTTCATGCTTTGTTCCACATCAAACTTTGTATCAAGAGTAAGATTCATGTTCTTTTGCCTCTGTGAATTTATCAATAGTATCTTCTTAGCCAGATAGCGTATTTAAAAAATGTATTTAGCTGGAGACATTTGAAGAACAAAATTAATATTTTGTTTAGGAACGCAGTTCTATTCCTCATTGCTAGTCATCACTACTAGTTGGAGGTAAAATTTTAATGAGGACAACACAGGTGTATAGGTTCTGAATGCACATTAGCAATGTAAGGTCAAAATCCTTTGGGTTCCTGAGACTCAACTACCTCTGCAAATGTTCATGAAAGTCTAGAGGCTCTTTTGTCCCTTTCCACCAGAGGATGTATTGATTTTTTTTCTATGCGACAGCTGCTACCATTTACAGATACTATAATGGTAAGACCTGCATGACCATGTGTTGCTCTTATTTGGAGTAAAGTTCAAAAGCAGAAGCTGCATCATTTATGAAAAAAAAAATATGGAAAACCAACCAAACAAAAACCCCCTCACTAAGCTGTCAGATACATTAGACCTTCCTCAGGTCAGCTATCAGTTGAAGATACAGAATCACAAAATGTTCAGGGTTGGAAGAGACCATCTAGTCCAACCCCCCTGCCAGAGCAGGATCCCCTAGGGCAGCCACACAGGAACGTGTCCAGGTGGGTTTGGAAAGTCTCCAGAGAAGGAGACTCCACAACCTCTCTGGGCAGCCTGTGCCAGGGCTCAGTTACCCTCACAGTGAAGAAGTTTCTCATCACGTTGAGGTGGAACTTCCTATGTTCTAACTTAAATCCATTATTTCTTTTTCTGTTGCTAGGTATCACTGAGAAGAGATTGTCCCCTTCCTCTTGACACCCACCCCTCAGATATTTATATGTGTTAATAAGACCCCTCTCAGCCATCTCCTTTCAAGACTAAACAGCCCCAGTTCTCTCCATCTCTCTTCATGGGAGAGATGTTCAAGTCCCTTAATCAACCTTGTAGCTCCCCATTGGACTGTCTGCAGTAGGTCTCTGTCTCTCTTGAATTGGGGAGCCCAGAACTGGACACAATATTCCAGGTGTGGTCTCACCAAGGCAGAGCAGAGGGGGAGGAGAACTTCCCTAGACCTGCTGGACACAGTTTTCTTAATGCACTCCAGGACTCCATTGGCCCTCTTGGCCACAAGGGCAACTCACAATAAGTTTTGTTATGCATATACCCTTGGAGCAAACCTCTTCAGTTCCTGGTATCAAACTTATTTTATAAAAGGCTATTGCTTAGTATTATTAGATCCTGTCTCTGTCCGTGCCAAGCCTCGTGATAGCCTTACTGGCTCATGGTAGCCTTGTTTCCCAGGGTATAGCCTCTGATCGGTGCATCACACAGAAGAGTTACAGACATATTAATAAAGTGAGCTAGGTTTGTGTTTGGTTGTTTTTTTTTTTTAAACCACAATTGATTTTTGGAATTGCCATAGCTTTAGGCTTTGGAGTTGTGCACAGGGCAGAGAGTTTCATTGCTTCCTTTTTTTTTTTGGAAGTGGCATAATTTACAAGCGATCAGTAGTGTAACTGGGTAACCCTGTGATTTGGTATTGCCATGCTAGCAAAAGCCTGTAAGCTTAAAGCAGAGTGCAAAGCCATTGAAGCTCATTGGTCTTGCTCTGTCTAAACTTTTCTTGATCTGCCTGCAGCTTTGTTTTACTAGGTCCAGCTGTAACAGTAATATTTTTATATAGAATACAGTAACACCAGAAGTAACTCTTTGTAGAGCAAGATATTTATGACTCTAAGACAACGATGTACCACAAAGAAACACAGGGCTAGTAAGATAACAGAGGTCTTGAGAAGTGGAGACACAGGAGGTATAGAGGAGCACTAGAGGCTGGTCCTGGAGATCCCATGATTATAAACATCCCACCAATGGCCAGTTAAAGAAGTGCAGACCTGGACTTGGGCAAAAATGGTTTTAGGGGCAATTAACACAGTAAAGACATAGTACCTAGCATATATACGTAAAAAGCATCATGTAGAATAAATTTGGGTGTAATGTGAAGATGCAGATGAACAAAGACCAAGGTGTAAAAAAAAGCATGTTTGCAAACATATGAAAGGACCTAGAGAAGATCCTAGGGTGAAGGAGAAGAAACCATGAACACATCTCGATGGAACACTGGAAGAGGCTGCCTAGGGAAGTACTTCAACCAGCATCCCTGGAGGTACTTGAAAGACACACAGATGTCATGCTTAGGGACATGGTTTAGTGGTGGACCTGGCATTACTAGGTTACCAGTTGGACACGGTGATCTTAAACGTCTTTTCCAACCTAAACAATTCTATGATTCTAGGACCATTGTAAGAACCCCTTTGACCCCACCAGAACAAAGTGATCAATGAATCAAGGGACCCAGGGAGATAGAGAAAGAGTAAGCATAACATCCAGGGAAAGGAGTAGAAACAATTTGAACTGCATTGTATTCTCTCTTTTTATGTAATAATTACTTCTGGACTAATAACTACTACACTTGCAAAATTTCAGAAATGCTAACAATACATTCTTGGCTTTATATTATAAGTATATTCGCAGGTAGACACATGTAGCAAGGGGTGATAGAAGAACATATTTTTCTAATGAAAGGCTTGCAAGAAAGAAAATCAGCAATACGTTCACAGCTACAACACTTTGGCTTGCCTCTCCTAGAGATTAAGGAGTCTGCTAGCACCAAAGGGCATGAAATGCATGTTGAAACTGACTTTTATCATTCAGTAGGTGAACAGATACATCCACCTGTACTAAACAGCTCTAGAAAAGACATTGGACACATTTATTCATCTTTATTCATGATTCCCATGAGATGAAGTTTGCTGTAGCGGACAATCAAATTAATTAACTGCTGAATCTAATTTAGCCAATTTCTTGTTAATTCCCTTATGGGTTGATTATTAAGCCTGACAAATTCCAGCCCCAAAGCACTTCACTTAAAAAAATAATAATTATAGCAACAGGAAGAGAGGTAGTGAAAGTTGGGACTCCACAACAGACATGGAAATCATTGCTTTATTTTCAGCAATACAGCAAATGAAGAAGCTTCATAACTGCTTCACTGGTTTCGTTCAAGCATAACATTTCAGAGAATGAAAAACTAGGAAATAAAAAGCACTTAGTAGATAAGAAATCAATTGGGTAGTGCAGGAGAGCTATTACCTTTTTTTTTTTTGGCCAGAAACTAGGCACACTGACCACTCATTAAAAGCTGTTCACTGTTGGACTGAGTAGCTAGTTAACTACATACCGTAACCAAAGAAGCTTTAAAGGCCACACTCTCATTGAAAAAAACACTTGTCACAGTCCAGGGCTGTTCAATCCTGTCTAACCTGCCCCACTATCTTTGTGCTGAGCGACTCTCTGCAGCATTTCAGCCCAGGGTTAGCTTGATATTTACAGCGTGTCCCTCTCTTTCACTGAGGCAACTCCAGGATCTGCTCAAAGCTCAAAGACCTGTGGTTTGTTTGCTTTAGCTTTACGAGCTCTTTGTACACATTTCACTAGGATCTAGGCCAGAAAATGGTACTTGAAGGAGAAACCGCAAACAAGGGGACACAAAAACTTCAAAATGATTCGTCAGTCACAACCCACAGCCTGTAACATGAAGGCTTGATCACTGAGGTCCTTTCCAGCGGTGGGTCTGGGCCTGTTTCAAGAGCATGTATAATTTTCAGATGGCTCAAAATGGCAATTTTAATAAATTTTGAGGGACTGGCCTCCCTCCCTACATGGTAACTGCTGTTCATGGGATTGCTGCCCAGGTCTTAAGCCCAGGTCTTCTACGCCTGCCAGGAGAAGGTTTTCATTAGACAATCCATGTCTCCAGCCTTGCCTTCTGTTTCACTTTTGCCAGAAACAGAAGCATTTAGCAGCTCCTGGTGCTCACTGCAAGACTTTTCCATCAGCTAAATTTTGACTGATGGCAGTTTCACCACAGCAGACACAGGCTGCATTTACTGTGCAGCTGCATTTATTATGAAGCACTGACTTGCTATGATACTGGTTCTGTTAATTAGTCCTTAAATAAATAATCCATCTGACTGTGGACAAGAGCTGTCAGGACAAGTCAAAGGAACCTACTAATTATAGAAAAGCTGAGTTCTTCCTCCACAGTTTTTCAGAGAAGACGAAAAAAAGGATCAGAAGTCAGGCTTTGCCAGGCAGAAGTCACAGGGACTCTGTTGGGACTACTTGCACAGTACGGTGAAATAAAGGACCAAAGTATCTAAGCTTTCATTTAAAGAAAGAAAAAAGACCATAAATCTACTCATTTTGAAATCATAAGGGTACAACTGAAATAATCTGTTCTGATCTTTTGTGCCATACAGGCCAAACTGGTTTATCTGCTTGCCAACACACAGAGTGTCTTCCAGCTTCTTCACTTTGGCCCTTTACATATGTCAAACTGAGCTGTCGATAAGCTCAATAGTGTAGGACAGTCCTTTCAAACATGTTTCAGACATTGCACCTAAGTGAATGTTGTCAGCTAGGGTTCTCCTAAGACCTGAATATTCACTGGATGAATGTGTGAGATGGAGAATCTTCCTTTGGCCAACTATGTCAATGCTTAATTAGCTTTGCCTATAAAAACCTGTATTTATTACCAGTTAAAAGCATTTCTAGAAGAAGAATTTGAGAAATGTCCACAGGAAAAAGATGACTCCTTTTTTCCATTTCACCCCAATTAGTCTACTTTATAATTTAACTTTTTATACCCACTTGAACCAACCATTCAGATGAAATGACAGCTCACAACTGATAACCAAACAGATTGGGGAAAAAGATTAAAATATTCCACCTTTGTCTGTCCACTCAGAGGTCTCCAAAAGTCATGCCAAAGGTCATTCCCTCATCACCACATTCATAAGGCACGTCCTTGTGCCTTCAGCATTCTTTTGCTGAACTACATCACCTCCCATGACACACCCTGAATATGGGTCTTTGAGCAAATCTTGAGGAAAGAAAATCCACAGTGTTATGCATTTGTTTTAATTAACTAGAATACTGAAAAAAAAATCCAGGATTTATTTTTGTATTAGAAACACCTGACTCACTGACTCACTTGACTTTCATCTACTGATTCTCTCATCAAGAAAAAAGAAAGATCATGCTATATAGATACACAGTCCCTTTGTGCTTATGTTTTCAACACACTTTGCCACCTCTCCTTTGATTTTAATTTCCCTAACGCTAGTTGAAATAATATCCATAACAAAAGGCTGTTTGTAAAACCAAGGTAAAGTAATTTAGTTGAGTTCTTGCTTGAACTGACAGACACCATGTTTCTTTTAACAGGTCTGTATAGTCACAGGTGGCCCAAACCCACCTCATTTGAAGCCAGTGGCAACGCTCTCATCGACTTCACTGGGCCAGCTCAGGACTGATGTGGTAGCAAACCAGAAATCCAGGACTCCGTGGTTCTATCCAGACTCAGCTCAGGGCACCCCACAGAAAGGCACAAAGGATTTTTCCTGATACAAGGAACCACTGACCTGGGGGCCTCTGATCTCTTGCGGAAACAGTGGGTCAGGACTGTTTTGCCACCCCTGCAAAATCTCACTCATAAAACACCCACTAACATCAGATGCCAGGGGGGTTTTAAGGCATACCACATACTCCTCATGTAGAAAAACCAAGATTTATTTTTTTTATCACTGAAAGTGTTGTTATTTTTTTACACCTCTGGGCTGCCGAGATGACTAACTCTTCACAACTAAACTAAAACTACATTATAACATTGTTGCAGAAGCTTCTGAAATCTTAAAAGACAAAGTTGAAGGAAATGTTAAATCTAAAAACCAAACCCCAGTCCCATAAGGAGATGGTGAGAGGTGATTAAAAAGCAAGACAGTTGCAGATGAATGTTGATTTGATTTGGATGTGAAAAAGTTGCAGCTTTTGAACATGAAGTGACAAAAAGCCTCTCTGGCATATATATATGTAAAAGTATATATGTATATTCTATACCTTGTTCATACTGATGTGCAGGGCTGGCCATGGTCCAACTACCTTCACACTCTCCGTTTCTATTTTCTTCAGATGGGAAGTTTCATCATAAAGAAGGGGAAGTCCTGAGCTCAGTTCTAAGATGACACCCAAAAGAAAGAAAGAAAAAAACAACACAGTCTGAAGGGAGGCTACAGAAAAACTGCAGAGTAAGACACAACTGCATTTGAAGAGACAGTGGTCAGCAAACAATCTACCCTGTAAGACCCTCTAAAATATTTCAGAATTACGCCTTTTTTCTGTTGAGCAAACAATTCCTCTCCCTCCTCCTTCTCACCCATCCCTTCATTCCTACAGAGCTTTTGCCTGCTTTAGGCTAGACACTTCTCTCCTTACCTCCCCCCTCCACCCCTTCTGTATTTTAAAACTCAGTTGACACCAGAGGGATTATTTATGCAGCCAAGGTGCCATTCTCAGAACATGTGATCTGTAAGGAGATCAGAGTATAGCTGTTGGCTTCTCTCAGACATCTTTATTTATATGCCAGTGTCTTTAAGACTGTTGTCAGAAATTTGCTGTGCAGTGTCAACAGAGATTTTGAGCAAGCCACTGACACAGAAAGATGAAGAAATGTATTTTTTGAGACAGCCCAGAAAGGTCTCTGCAAACATCTTGGGGATGGTATGGCATATACACATATATTTGCAAGCAGTCTGAGAAACATGAACTTCATCATGTGATGATTTAACTAAACTCTGCGTCCTCCTGTATTTCTTTTTGCAATCGATTTTAGGTAATAACAGTTGGGAACAATTTGGTAATCTCTGGAGTCTCATTCAAAGCCCACTGAAATCAATAAAAACCTTGCATTGACTGCAGTTTGGTTTGGATCAGGTTCTTAAGCTGTTCTAAGAATAATAAATATTACTCACTCAAGATCTAATTCTACAGCTGTTTAAATATACATTAAGGGCTTTGCTGACTAGAGACAAACTGCTAAAACCAGCTTACAGGGATATAAGCAAAATCTGTTATACCGGGAATAAATTACCACAGCCATGAGACAAGACATGATGATGGTTGTTTTTTAGGTTTTTTTTGAAGAAACACATTCTATTTTCCTGTTAAGAACATAGAAGGGAGAAAGTGTCTTATTTAAATTATTTACATTTGCTATGGTTTAAAACTGACTTTTAAGCTGTTTTGTTTTTGCTTAAAGGGAGAGCTCTGGAAAACAAGCTAGCCAGTTCAGCCTTTTAACTCAATCTCAAACATAGATTAAAAAAACAGGCAAAAAACTGAAGTCCTACAGAAGACATACATTTCCTGAGTCAGCATTAAGTCTTGGCAAAGCTGGGCTTTCATTTCAACAAAGGATCTGGCAGCACTGTGGTTTTTCAAAGCACTGTTTTCAGCCTGAAACTCAGTCTGTACTACACCCTTCTCTGCTCAGGGTTACACAAGGACTTCTGCAGCGAGCAGTTCAGGAATAAAGCATGTCTATTTTTTAAGCGATAACCTGCAAGCTCAGCCCGAGTTCAAGAGGCGAGCTGGGCCCCCCTCTTCTTGTTCGTTTTCCACCATAATAATTCCGTGAGCTACATCGCATACTTGTTGGCATCTGCTTTCAGTGATAGCCCCAGCTGTTGCCGGTAGATCTGCTCATGTGCACCTGATAATCCATGCACGTTGTTGCCATGCCAATTAGTCTTAGCAAGCAGCTCACCCTCTCTGTGAGGCGGCGCTGGCGCTGCAAGGCTAACTGCTGTTGAGTACAGAAGTCCCTGGCACTGGGATTCTGCAAATACACTGGGGGAAGATGTGCTGTATGAAAAGATAGGACCTGTGTACGTTTGCTTCGAGGCGAAGGGCAGAATTGCAAATACACTAATCGGGGTGAACGCAAGAAAACAACATCTTCTGCTGAACTGCCTTCATAAACAGGCACGTCAGATTTGTTTCACTGGATTTCGCTTTATTCCAGTAATTGAAGTAGACAAATTACTTGGAATGTGAAAAATCAGGCAGGTCTGGCCCGGGTTTGTTTTCTGTAAAAAAACCCCAGGCTGCGTGTTTTCTGGGAAATATCCAGCAGTATTTAAAGGGAACCTTGGCTGGGCATATCGATGGTTCCCTCTCTCCTGCCTATGTCCTGTGAATCGGATGGGAATTTTGGCATTTACAAGACTCATAGGAACACAGAAATCATTGGGTTGGAAGGGACCTTTAAAGGTCATCTAGGCCACCTACCCTGCAGTAAGCAGGGACATCTAACTCGACTGGGTTGCTCAGAGCAGAAGAGGTGTAAGTGGAGGAAAGGCAGATGCTTTCTCCTTCTCTCAGCCCCATACACACCTGTGGGTCACTCCACATTCCACTTCAGATGAATTTAAAACCACCTCAGAGACGAGTCCAGTCAACAGGAGCTGGAGTAAGCCACAAAATGCTCATGGTCCTTTGGAAAATTACACGGTAGCCAGACAAGAAGTGCTGGTGTACACAGTCTCACCTCTGCCAGCCTCATGGGGAAGTTTTCACTAGAATAGCTATTTCCCCCATGAGACCTTTCGGCTCTCCAGGCATTTCCACTTGAGATACTCTGATCACAAACACTCTCTTCCGTGAAAGTGTCCCCAGGTTAGTGACCAGTTATTTCCTAGAAACACTTTCCCAGCAGTGGCCTTTCCATACAGCCTGGAACCACATATGAGTCCCTCGTCTCCCTACATTCCTGACGCAGACCCCTGATAGTGTCTCCCCTGCCTGAGTTTTTCTTGTCCCACACACTCAGCCACATGTGCTACCCTAGATAACTGACTGACAGCCAGAATGCTCCTAACTGCTACAGCACATACGTTATGAGACTTTTCCACAGGCTCTCTATAACATGTTTTTCTGACCTGAAATAGCCTGAGCAGCATTTTAACAAATCCAATAAAAACAAAACAATCCAAAACACGCCCGCTGAGCACCAAACTTTGAAAAGGTACCCAGATCCATCACCTCAAACTGCAAATAAGTAACTTGGTTCTGTTTTAAAGGAAGTGGTCCTATCCCTACTGCTTTAGCAGTGTAAACACACGAGGTCTAACTGTGAACTGGCCTTTCAAGGGAAATCAGCTGTGTATCTCTGGCTGGATTCATGGCTAGAGGTATCCTCAAGGTATCGGCGATGGGTGGCCATGGGGCAGCATTCTCGCTTTAAGACAAGCCAGTGCGGGCCACGCGCATTCACCAGGGCAGCTCGGCTGGATGCAGTTGGCATGCCCGCCCCAGAGCCTCCCCTCCAAGGTGCCTCGTCCCCTTCTGCTCCCTTAGAGAAACCGGGAACTGTCGTTTGGCACTGCTGGCATTAGGTCATGTCAGAAAACAGCACCGATTCCCTTTTCTCTATTCAAACAGCTAGCATGAACCAGCAGTAAAGGAAACAAAACAAAAGAAAGCTACATCTACCTCCAGGAAAAGGCACTACACGCATCTCAGGTGTTGATGTCCCTTTCAGAGCACCACAGCTGCCAGAGAGGCCAGGGGAAAAGGCTGTACATGCCCAGCAGCAGATAATTATGTACAAATTCCCCAAGGCTGCATCATGAACAGGCTGGGGGGAGGCTTCACCCCCTGAGCACAGCAAGGGTTTGGGGGAGAGAGCGCACCCTCATTCCGTGCCTGGGGGAATACAGCCTCCTGGACCCCACATCTCATCCTGCAGGTAACAGTGGGCACAAACAGAAGTGCCCTGATGTCTCCCCTCATGCCTTTCTAAGCTTCTTCTAAGGCCATGCAACAAGGAGTAGGAAAGCAGTACAGCCTAAGGGAGACATAGAGCTGGAATAAACTCCTCGTTACTGTGGTTTTTTGCTGTTGTTTCTTTAATCACCTGTTGTTCCCCAGGTGGGCCTGGCTCAGCAGGGCCCATGGCAGGGCTGTGGGAAACTGGAGACAGGCCCTGCTGCAGCGCCACTGGGGCAGCAGCTGAGGCCCTGGGGGCTGACGTGGGGCTGCTGGCAGGGTGGGGGGTCCCTCAGGAAAGGGACAGGGACAACAGGGCCTGCAGTGCCCTCAGGATGGAGACACTCAGCATAGCTGGCTCTGAATGAATTTCCTGGCATGCTTCAACTCTAATTCGGGAAAGAAAAATGCAGGCTGGCACACTACCCCCCGGGAAGGTCACTGCCTCCTGCTGCACCAGGCTGATAGCCCGGGCGAGGCTTTCCAGCTTCGGCTTGCCAGCATCCCTCCGCTGCCAGCGCTCGTGGCAGTCCTCTGACCCATCGGCCCAGGCCCAGCAGCTGCACGGCCAGGGTGAGCTGCCCAGAAGTTGCCCACAGGCAACTGGTTGTGCAAGACCACAGCCCAGATG